GGGGAAGGGGAGAGAGAGAGAGAGAGAGAGAGAGAGAGAGAGAGAGAAAGTAAAAAGTCCTCTTCACTATATACCCATATACCCCTAGACACCAATGAGCAGGGTTTTTGAAGTGTATGCAAAGGCAACTTTTTTTTTTTTTTCCATATGATGTGGAAGTAGCCCTCTGTCTGAATTGTATGGATGTCTATAGCCTCACTGGGAAGATTTTAACCTTTTTTGTCTTGGTGCCCAAAACGGAAAGTGAGGGAAAATCCCAAAATGTTTCCCCCCTAACAAGAGGCGAGGGGAAATCTTCCAATGGGAGCACCTATTTTGGTGACCAATGTCTAAAAAGGGAGTTCTCTGCATTTTGGGGAGATTTTCTTATTCGATTTGTTGCATATCTATGACAGGAAGTGAAGGGAAATCTCCCCAACAGGACATGGGTGGCAAAAAAAATAACCTGACACATTTTTAACCCTTAACTACTTTGTCATAAAATTAGGCTATACATGCACTTTAAAGGGTAATTCCAGTTTCCCAGTATGTGAGAATCTGAAATTCCTCTGTATGCAGAGCAGGCTTTTTTTTTTTTTAATCTCTCCTACTGTTTCAGGGTCTCTGATTGGCATCCATTTAAAGAATTATAATCTAAATCATAACTACAGGGCCGCACAGAAGGCACCTGCCCCTGACTCATGAGACCCAACTGTGATTGCTCGTCTCCTTTACTTACCAGCTGTATGCTCTCCTTGCATGGTGCACTGATTAAAAGAACACTTCTCCCCTTTCATATTTCCCATCTGTCTTTTTTTTATTTTATTTTAATGTCTATGAAGACTGAAAAAAAAATTTCAATCCCAATTTATAAAACCGGATCCAATGGGCTAAACTTTTTTATGCAATATGATTGACTGAATATATTACGTTTTAAGGTGCTGTGGCTTTTAGTTCTCCATCTGATATTTGTTATTTTTACATTACAAGTCCATTTGAATGTGATGAGCTAATGCTAATAAAGTATCTTAGGGGGCCATGTATGCTGGAAAAATGGTTCTAAATAGAATGACAGCAGGGAGTATGTGCTGGAAAGGTGTGGAGAGGGCATGCCAGGGGGAGGTATATGCAGGAGAGGAGGACAGAAGGTTTCACAAGAGCTAGTATGTGCATGAAAGAGGTGCAGAAGGTACACTGTAAAGTATGTGCGGGAGAGGGTATAACAAGGGGAGGTATGTGCCGCGGAGAAGTTCAGAAAGCATGACGTGGTTTTATGTGTCAGAGAGGAGTACAGAAGGTTAGGGGCAGTATGTGCACGGCGGGAGTGCAAAGGGTATGACAGGAGGCAGTACGTACAGAAGAGAAGTGTAGAAGGTATGACAGGGAGTAGTGGTATATGCAGAAGAGTGGAGAGGGTATGACTGCAAACAGTATGTTCAGGAGAGGAGCTTGGTACATATGACAGCAGGTAGTGTGCGCAGGAGTGTAGTGTGGAGGGTATGACGGTGGGCAGTATGTGCAGGAGTGTAGTGTGGAGGGTATGACAGTAGGCAGTATGTGCAGGAGAGGAGTGTGGAGGGTATGAAGGTGGGCAGTATGTGCAGGAGTGTAGTGTGGAGGGTATGGCGGTGGGCAGTATGTGCAGGAGAGGAGTGTGGAGGGTATGACGGTGGGCAGTATGTGCAGGAGAAGAGTTGAGGGGGAATAAAGAGACCATTCCTCTCAGCGTAGTGCAATGAGATTTGAAAGTACAGTTTGTGGTTTGGGTTTTAACCTTGCGGGTGGAGTTTATGGTGTTGGTGGGTGTTAACTGTTCAAGTAAGTGGAGTTAAACATCATCAGAAGAAACCTGGGATTTAGACGTGACACACCATGGAAGACACGCCTTACTCTGGCGTCGGAGCATGATTTTTATACAGATCAAGTCTTTAGAAAGTGTTGTGTGTAACTTGTAGAATGAATGTATTATGTTAAACAAGAAAATGAATTCTATACAGCATATACTGTATATCTATCTGTGATCTCTACGATAGATCATGTGTTAACAGCAGAAGATACTGTGCTACATAACTTTGTTCCAAACAGCTTTGAATGCTTGAATATGTGTGGCGAGTTTATGCAACTGTGATTTGGGTTTATTTTAGGTGATCATGTGAAGGATCGCTTCCAGATGGATTTGCTGCGGATGGGCTTTGATATGCAGAATGCCTGGAGAGTGTCTGAAATCAACAACAACTACAAGTGAGGCATTCAGATTCTCTGTGCGATACAGAATTTAAAGCAGATTATACTTTTTTTTTTTTTGGTAGAAGCTATCGTTTGAAGCAGATGTGACATCATATTTGAATAATCTTTATCTGGTGCAAGCCCTGCTGTACAGGCTGGTCTGAGGTTTTCAATTATATAGTCTATTCCCTCATTCTTTTTATGGATTGCGCCATCACATTACTAGGTTGCAACACTTTTTTTTTTTTTTTTTTTTTTTTTTTTTTTTTTTTTTTTTGTTTTTTTTTTAGTTCTTAGTTTGTGTTTTTTATTTAGATCCCATTCACTCCGGGGTGGTCCGGCCGGCCGGATCCGCCCACATGAACGATCCTATACATTGCTATGGGGGCTGTTTATGCGACCGCACAGGTCCATGCGATCCAAACCACCCCCCCACCCGAACTGTACTATTTTTTTTCCGTACTGATCAGTGCGGTTTCCATACAGCTGTCAATGGAACCGCGCTTCTCAGTGCAGTTTTGGGAGTTTTTAATTGCGTTTTGGCGCTAAAACTCAATTAAAAACTACCAAAACATCCCGTTTTTGAGGTCAGCGCGGTAACCGCGCTGATCTGCAGACAACCACCCTGCTGTGAAATGGGCTGTAATCATGTTCTCCTCCAGGGTCAATGTGAAGCATTTTGTAGTCTGAGGTGTGTATTTACACCGCTTACTAGCGCACACAAGGGTCGCTCCATAAGACCCTTCAAGGGAAAGAGCCACCCTAAAACACAATATCAGGACCAGTGCTCAGGGGACCAGCTGATTCTGCAGGAAACTATAAAACTTTTAAACATCATGAAGCAGCAACCATTGCAATTGACTTCCATCAGCATTTGAAATAGCTTAAAACCTTGTGACTTTAATATCACTTTAAGTCATATTTTAAAATGCAGATTTTTACGCATGCAAAAAATGAAAACCTTGCCCTGATTGCAAAGTGGTTGAAGATCCTGCCAATTTTTTGATTTCCTGCTAACATTGTCTGCACACAGATGCAGTGCTCTCTGCATGCCAACCTATATGAAGAAAGGTATTGATGGTATCTGGAGCCTTTTCCCTCCTTCTCCCTACTTTATATCACCTTTTGTACATACTTCATGGACGGTATGTGCTGTATAGAGATGGTAGTGAAACAGCTAGGTACAGTACGAGTGGAATCTCAACATGTCTTTATATACTTTGTTAAAATATTCTTTTGTTTTACTTTTCTGCCATAGACTTTGTCCAAGTTATCCTCAAAAACTGCTTGTTCCGGTGTGGATTACTGATAAAGAGCTTGAGAATGTGGCTTCATTCAGATCCGGGAAGCGGATTCCTGTGGTTGTGTACAGGTAATGTCAGACAGACGGTGACGTGACACCATTTTCTGGAAAGTCCTAAACTAGTCGCCTCCATCTAGGGACACTAGTGCCATTTAAGCGGCATCAGCCCAGCGGAACTGCTATAACTTTTTTATAGATGAACCCCTTTGGGTGCAGTTTTGTATTCTATGGACTGTAATAAGTCCTAACAGATTATACAGTGGCTAAGGTTTACATCGGCTCCTGCTTTCCCAGAGTAGCTCGCAATCTAAAACTCATACACATACTAGAGCCGTTTTGGTAAATAGATGATTAACTTGCCAATATGTTTTTAGATTGTTGGAGGAAACCTAAATAAGCAGGGGTAGCACATATAAACTCCATGCAGATGGTGTAAGATTTGAACCCAGAGCTGCAGGCTGATCTTTTTATAAAAGATGCACATTTTATATGGCTGCAGAATGTAAGCATTCTCTTCATTTCAGACATACAAGAACGGGCGCCGTAATAGCTCGTTGCAGCCAACCAGAGATCAGCTGGTGGGGATGGCGCAATGCTGATGATGAACATCTGGTAACTTCCATTGCAAAAGCCTGCGCTCTTAACCCTGGAGGACGCACAGCTACTGCCAGCTTAACCAACAAAGGCTCCAGTGAGGGGACAGAGAACGCAGACACGGATTTCGGTGAGTGACATATACTACAGGTATAAACTAGTTTCACAAATGGTCGTGTTTAATTTGCCTCTCAATTGTGTTAATTTTATTAATTGGCATTAATTGTAGATTCTTCGCTGACTGCCTGCCCTGGCATGGAAGGTAGCACACCACCCCAGAAACTCCTCATTCTGGATGCACGTTCCTACACTGCTGCTGTTGCAAACAGAGCTAAAGGTGGAGGCTGCGAATGTGAAGGTAATGTGTTTACAAGGCTGACTTGATGCTGAAGTTAACCACAGTTGGGGGGGGGTGAGAGAATGTTGCAACTTTTTTTCTGTATGCTTGCTCAAAATGAACCATGCAACTGTTACAAAAAAAATCTTCTTCTAGACCCAGAACCCACATGTGACAGGTGTTATCAGATGTGGGGGGAGATGCCCAAGTTCCATCCTAGTCTAAAGCCAGTATTTGCTTACTGCTTGTAGCCTGGGCTCAGGGGATCCCAAGGCATGCCGAGGAGGAATTACAAGTAGCATCATCCCAAGGCATGCCGAGGAGGAATGCTTCACAAGTAGCATCTTCTCTTCTCTGTTGTGCTTATTGAACGCCTTGATCTGTTGACCGGTCCACTTGTACATCTAAACGCAGTAGAACTTGTTTTAGGAACAGTAAAGTTTTTTTTGTTTTTTTTTCTTTCTTTACTTCTCAGATAACTATTCCTGCGTTAAGATAAACCAAACACAGGAGGCGAGTGTGAATGTAGCCGTAGACTTCGGTACCTCCTTAAATTCCTCTTCAATGTCTATAGATATGGAGATGAATAAAGGATTTGTTTTAAAGCGATTTACACCACTTGTTCAGAATATGTAAATACTTTAGTGTGCATAGTCTGAGCTCACGTTCACTTTAAAGTTGAATGTTGCACAAAATTGAAAATTATATTGATGGTGTACTTTGTGCAATAGAATTAACACAACAGTTTTATTTTCTAATTTCCTCCTATAGCATAGTTTATTACCTGTTGGTCCTTCCAGTATACCGATTATTTTTTAGTTTACTATACCAGGCCTGTTTCCAGAAAAAGGGACAGTGGCAGAGGTTGGCACAAACCAAAAGAAGCCTGCTGCATTAACTGCTTCAAACGTGTTTGCTGGCATTAGGCTTTAGTCAGTCTGTCTGTTACTTCTAAAGCTAAATGTCCATTTAAAGCTACCCTGCCACAGGGCGAGATCGCTGTAGTGATTTCACTGCAGTACAGACAGCGTTGTCATCCTATTACAGGAAATGGAAAAATAATGGATGTACTGGCAGGATCAAGGCACTAGCAGGATGTTTTAGAAGGACACGGGAAAGCAAAGGAACAGCTCTGTTAATGCTACTGTCAGATTGCAGCATATATTCAATTTTTGATTTTGTTTGTACAGCAAGTAAAGCTAAAGTCGGGTTTACAGGTGTCTAATTTTTTTGTGCAACCAGCAGGCTGAACAAAAACAATAGAACAGATTCCTCCATCAACGCTTAAGAGCATTAATGGACAAATCCCCCGCTGTTAATGTTGTATTCTGACAGCGGATGCCTGATTGGCTTCCAGCTCCATTTGGCCGAGACCTGCTCCTTCGATCAGCTGATTGAGGGTAGCCGGCAGAAGGGTACCTACAGCGACGCACTGTTCATCAAGAACCGGCCCGAAATTCATACCGTGTGTACCCTACTTAAACAAATGCGAGGAAGTAGGATTGAATGCTGCATATTTTTATAGACCTGATGTGGCCTGGGGAAATGGCAATTTAGGGTAAGCAGCTCTAGAGTTGATGTGATTTTCACAGCATGCTTCAGTCTTCAAGCTTGCTTCCTTCAGTTTTGGATTGAAGGCTGGCTTGCTGGAAAATGTTGTTGGATATGAAATTGTTTTCTGCACATCATACTGTAATAAGGCAGCGCTGCCCTTCACCATCAATGGCCACATAGGGCCTTTATTAAATACAGAAATGAATGCACAAGGAGAGTGTAATGAGCACAGTGAGGAATACAAGGCTTGTGCTGAAGACGGTACCCTGACGTGCTCAAGGAAGACATTAGTGAATGTAACATTCAATTCCCCCAAGTATCCATTAGTTTAATCTCCCTACTTTTTGACAAAAATATTCTTCTAGGCAAACTAAGGCTTTGGGCCAATTTTATTTGATATTTTATATAAATTTTATAGGTATAAAATCTTTTACAAATAAACATTTAATATAGGAGCACCTATATAACACTAGCTTTGTAGAGCATTCTGGGTTTTTCAACAAGAGCACAGCAGTGGCTTTTTCCTCTCTGAATCCATTTCCAAACAGCCCTATGAGAACAGAACAGTTGGCGGTAGGAAGGAGTGCGTTACATATCGGATTCATTCTGTTAAATGTATCATTTGAGATTCAACACTGCAACGCATGTTTTTAATTTTTGTTTTTTAGCAAAGCATTTAAGGTTAGCTTGGTAAAGATGTGAAAATCGTCTATGTAGAAGTCCATTAGTCCACTGACTAAAAGTAGTTTGTAATTATTTTAGGTTTAGGCTTACCAAGCAACAAAATATATTCAAGAACACCATGCATTCCTTTTTAAGGGCACATAAAAGCACCTTTTAGTACTCAGCCCTGTGCATGCCAATTACTTCTAATCAAATCCTCTAGAGAAGGCCAGGGCCATCCTGTATTTTTCTATCTGTAAAGAAGCAAGAAGTTCCCGAATGCTCCGCCAGCCATTGGTAGTTCCTCAGCAGTTACAGGGATGTCATATATTTCTGTGTTGGTAATGGAGTTTGTTGCTTTCCTTTTTTCCAGAGTACTATCCAAATTGTGAAGTAGTATTTATGGGAATGGCCAATATTCACTCTATCCGGAATAGCTTCCAGTACCTGCGAGCTGTGTGTAACCAAGTGCCCGATCCTGGAAAGTAAGTGTGCTCCTGTGTGTATACAATACATGGAAGGCAGTTGGTGTATCCTACATCTATTCGAGTACTTGATGGCATGGGCCCTGTTCCCTGTACACAGCAGAAACCAATTTTAGGGGCAGAATAATTCTTAGGAACAGAGCTTATTGGTTTTCAGCAGCCTAGCAATGTAATGAAAATGCAACATGGTCATCACTTTTATTAACCTCCCTGGCGGTCTGATTATCTCCAGTTTTTTTTTTTCTTCTTCAATTTTTTACTCTTAAATCTCCCGCCGGTTCCGCTTGCAAGGTACGGAACCTGAAGACGGATGCCGGCATTGGCCGGAGGACAAAGCGGGGATCGTGGACAAGGTAAGTTACGCACAGTGTAATCCCGAGTATGGCTCGGGGTTACCGCTTTTGGTACTGAAAATTAACCCAGAGCCACACTCGGGAATACCGCCAGGGAGGCTAAAGTACCTTTTTAAGCCACATAATGAAATCAACAGTACTATAACCCATTCTGTGATAACAATATATGTGGAGGTCACATCCCCCAAGGGCCATGTCACACTTGCGGTCCTGTCACTGGAGACAGGATAGCTAGAAAGGGCACTACCCACCTGTTTTCATATCTCAGTTCTTCACTGGCAAAAGCACTGCACTCCCTCACTGGCAATGCTGTGGAGGCATGCAAGTATTTCTCTGCCCTCTATAGGGAACCTGTCATTGAACACAACAGAATAACATGCGTGACATGGCCCAACAGTCAAACTCATTGAAGGGAGTTTATCAAAACTGGAGCAGACAAAATCTGGAGCAGCTGTGCATGGCAACCAATCAGTTTCTCTTTCATTTTCAAATCTTAACTAAACAGACTGAAGAGAGAAGCTGATTGGTTGTCTTGCACAGCTGCTCCAGATTTTGTCTGCTCCAGTTTTGATAAATTCCCCCATTATGTGTCTACTCCTAAGGTCACAACTGATTTTTATGTGGCCACTCCTGGGGTCACAACTGATTTTATGCCATTCTAGGCTGTCTGTTTCATTCAGATAGACCCTGTGACATAAAGGGATCAGTAAAGCACAGCCAGTAATGTATAAATAGTTTTATATATATGTCTGGAGATCCCTTTTACTGTGCTGTTTTTATAGGTGACTGGTTTTTATAAATTTGCTCCTAATATGGCTGCCCTTCTTGAATATCTGATACAAGTACTTTGTATCGGCATGAGTCACAATATATTTTTTTCATCTTAGTCCTTGGCCTGTCAATTTTTTCATTTCCATCAACTAACGCCGCCATCATGATCTTTCTCTCTCAAGATGCCACTTGCGTGTCAGGTGGTGAAACGCTTTATGTGTTTTGTAGCTGGCTGTCAGCACTGGAAAGCACCAAGTGGCTTCAGCACCTCTCTGTCATGTTGAAAGCCGCCACCGTTGTGGCCAATGCCTTGGATCGAGAAGAACGTCCCGTGCTGGTTCACTGTTCAGATGGCTGGGACCGAACACCGCAGATTGTATCCCTGGCGAAAATCTTGCTGGATCCCTATTACCGGACCTTGGAAGTATGTACTTACACATAAAATGAAACGGGTTATGTTACCATCACTTCTACTCTTCGTTAAATGTGGCCTTTTCTCTTTCAGGGATTCCAAGTGTTGGTGGAGACAGACTGGTTAGACTATGGCCATAAGTTTGGGGATCGCTGTGGTCATCAGGAGAATGCCGAGGATCAAAGTGAACAGTGTCCAGTCTTCTTGCAGTGGCTGGACTGCGTGCATCAATTACTTCTCCAGTTTCCTTGTCTCTTTGAATTCAACCATGCCTTCCTGGTAAAGAGCTTGTTACTATGCAATAGTTGAATGATTTCTTTGTTGTGTATATACCCTTTTAGGTCAGTGAGACAAGTGTGTACTGTTTTCTGTGTTCTTCCTGTGTGGAGTAGATGGCACATTTACATCTTACCTTGAAATGACCATGAGAACAAACCTGTAATCATGTCCCCACGTTATGGACAATGACCACTTGGATTACTATGAAAAATCCAGGAAGTGGTGATATGTAAACATTGATTATGTGCTAGGGTGTGCATGACTATGAATGCAAATTGGCAAAGCAGAGTTGAACATGGGAGGGATGGAGGGATGGAGAGGGAGGGATGGAGAGGGAGGGATGGAGAGGGAGGGATGGAGAGGGAGGGATGGAGAG